TATCGGCAAGTACTCAGATCCAAGTATCGGTATCGTATCGGTTTGTAAAAATTGGTATCGTTGCATCCCTAGTTAGAACTATTCACAAAATTACCTATTGGGGGTCCTAAAGGGAGAGCTGCACTAACACTGTCAGCACAAGAGGGAAAGCGCATGCATGCAAAATGCTGCAATAAGAGTACTAACCACAGACTGTATATAAAACCCAATGTCGCCAATGTAATTCAATTCAACCTCATTTAAATCTCTTCACCGTGTTTCTCTTCCATTTGCACATAAAAGTAACTGATTTGAGATTGAGACTGTACCAGCACTTTGCAAAATTAAATAATTTCTCTTGTGTTAACTGTGTCATATTTCTCACTATTACAACTAAAAAATAAAATTAAAAACAAACATGTGCCAGAGGTTTTTTGAAAATGTTTTGACAAATTAAAAACAACCTTATTTAAATATATTTAAAATAATTAAAAATAAATAAATATAAGATAAGATAACCTTTATTAGTCCCACATGTGGGAAATTTGTTTTGTTACAGCAGAACGTGGACAGTGCAATGTTATATAGCAAAAATGAGAGACCACTGGAATAGAATAAGAATAAGATACTGTACAGAATAGAATAGAATAAAATACTATATACAACAGAATACAATAAAATAAAATGATATATACAATAGGATAAAAATAGAATACAAATGCTATATACAAGTGAGTAAAATTACAACTTTGTCAGAAAAACAGTATTGTGTGGTGGATTTTTGTATGATGTGTATAACTATGTAACTATATACACTATATGTGCACTGAACATATATATTTTAACTTTCATGTAGAGTCTTAAGCACAAGACATTTTGCTTCTCCGGTGTTTATTAAGGTGGTACAGTAACAGGGCAGTTAATGTAAGGGGAGAGTTCTCCTGAATAATTTACTCTCCGGTAACTAACCTTCCCTAATACACACTCAACGTCTTTCATGCAGCACAACCAAAACAGTAACATTGTAACAGAGATTCTGAACACATCACGATAAAATATCATACGATATAATCACACACACACACACACACACACACACACACATTGAACTACACTGAAGTGTTTTGACCTATGTAGCTATAAGATTATATATTATGAGATTGTGCCACTTGCTGTGTAAGATTTAGTAATTAGGATTAATGTGTGATGTTTGACCGTGTCATGACCTGTTGTGATAAGCCAGAGCAAGGGGTAGTCAGAGTCCTGACTGGCCTTTGGCCAAGACCTTGGCTGCTACCTGACCCCTGCAGCTGTGTTTGAACGGGTGGGAAAGTTACCCAGCAGTAGGGGGCGGGGATACTGGTCCCTCTATATTAGAGGACCAGAGGATGCCCCCAGCACTTTTTCCCCTCTGTTGTTTCTCTCTGTCCAGCTCTGTGTTGCTCTACTGTCTGTGCTTAAGGCTGTACACCCCAGGGTTTTGCTTTGCTTGCTTTCTGCTATGTAATTCTCTTGCTAAATGTCTGCATGTATTTTTCCTGCTGTTCATATGATTCAGTGTATTAAACTCTGTTCCAAGAATTCTACTCTTTTCCAGAGCATCTTTTTGAGTGTCTTGATTTTAATTGGATCTAAAGAGGTTGGATCTCCACACCGTTGGTGGGAGAAGGTTGTCAGGATTCAATTTTTGCAAAATTTGGTCGCTTGAAAAATTTGCGACCACATTTGGTGACGTACGAAGGGACAAGGAATTAAGGTGATTGCTGGGAGCCTTGGGGAATGCCAAAGCCTTGCACATCAGAGAACACCAAGCGGCCGCTATAATAAGGTCAGCAGAGTTTTTTTCCTGCTCAATGTTGGTGTTGTCTGAGTGCAGGGGGGTTCCCACCTTGGCTCCAAGTAGATTTCACCTAACCTTGAAAAGGACTTTAATCAAACGGTCGCTGTTATTCTAAGTGATAAAGTGTTATACTTTAAGAAATAATGCTAGCTGCAGATGCTGAAGGAGCAGAATTTAATGGTGCATCATACGTGTGTGTGTGTGTTTTTCCTGTAACTTGTGTGACCCGCGGGGGGAGTGTGAGTGATCGCTGTGTGTGTGTATTTGGGGTTTGTGTGTGTAAAAGGCTGCTCTGCCCTGTACTGGAGTTAGACTCCAGGGCTGTGTTGGGGGAGTTTGGGTTTATTTTTAGTTTTAGTAAGTTGCGCAGAAGTAAAATGTTGAAGTGATGAAAAGCCATGAAAAGTGAAGCATATGTCGGCACCCTCAAAGTGGTTACCGCTGGAAACCTAGTTATCCATTTAGGTTGATAAGTTGACACAGGCTAACCTGTTAACTGGTTGACCTGGTTAACCCAAGTGAATTGCTAGGTAGTCAGGTCTGCTCGGGTTTTGGGGGATTTTTGGAGATAAATTCCTAGCAAGTAACGCGGGGACTTGGGGCTCACAGTAGGAATCTGATCACCAGTCTGGACAGGCCAGATGAACTGCTCGCGTCGCTGTATGAAAGGCGACACCTTCTGCAAAAGTGTAAATATGTAAATAGCTGTTACTAACCCTTAAGTATAATCACGGCTGTAAATATTGCTAAGTAGTAGTCTAGAGTATAACCATGTATTGCTGTAAATATTTCTTAAAATAACTCTTGCTGTAAATGAGAGTTAGAGGAATATGCGTAAGGGGTGGGTTTTGACAAATGAAAAAGAAAAATGGGAAGTTATTAGGTAGATGAATAAAAAGTTGTGGAGGGACTGTTTTGAGAGACTAAAAAAAACTGAGTTCACTGTGCTGCAGAGCGCTGTGTCTGCAGGCAGGTTGTGAATCTTCCCTAATATATGTGGACAGTGAGAAGAGCATTAGAGCAGTGAAAAGAGATAAATCGGCAAAAATTAAGAATTGTTGAATATAAAGAGGAAAATAGACACACTGTTGCTGAAATATAATGTTGTTGTTTACGGAATTTAAACAGAAAGATCTGCAGAAATAATATTTGTTAAGCAGCAGTATGAAGTAATGAAATTTGTGGATAAAATTGAGTAAAATATAATATTAATTGCCAAAATAGGGATCATGAGTAAATAGGGATTGCAGGATTATTAACTTAATGGAGGTATGACCAAAAGGTAAATAAATTGGAAATAGAGCTGCTTGACTAAAGTTACAAAAAAAAGGATAACCTACAAACCTCTTAAGCCCCAAGCCTACCTGATCTCCTGCCTTTTGCCCCCGTATCAGGGGGCGTTGGGGCTTAAGAGGTTAAAAAAAAAACAACCTAAAACAACGGTAATATTCCGGCAGCTGGGGCGCCAAAATACGACCGTGAAATAACAGAAAATAACTCCCCATAAAAATACGGTTATTTCCAGTAATGAAAATACAATTAGTTGCGCTAATTTGACATGGGATCTCGCCTTTTTCAAGTGCCGCTAAACATTAAATTAGGAACATGTTAATGTGATTAAACAATAAAATCATCTATAAATAGGAGAAAAAAACACATCTTAAAAAAACGGTAATATTC